CTCATGCTCTCATCCCCCTGTTGTCCATGTCCATTGGTTTGGCTTATATGCATGCATACAAGTCCTTTGGTTGATCTCTTCCCCTTACCCCCACCCTCCCCCACTTTCCCTCTTGGGATTAATAGTCTGATTGCTGTTTCTCTGTCTTTGGATCTGTCCCTGTTCATCAGTCTATGTTGTTCTCTATATTCCACAAATGAGTGAGATCATGTGGTATTTATATTTCTATGACTGGCTTATTTCACTTATCTGCAGCTTTGTCTGGAAGGAAGGACGTCTGGAAGGATGTCCAGTCTAATTAGCATATTACGCTTTTATTATTATAGATATATGTATATATATGCATATATATGTATATGTATATATATATTCCCCCAAAATATATACACATCTTAATAGCTGATAGCTTAATTTTGAAAATAAAATGTATTTTAATAAATACTATCTTTATAATTATTCAAAGTGTGTACACATTTTTGGGGGACATCCTATATATATCACTTTGCAAACTTTCTTGTACATTCTAAGTGCTAAAAACATGGCATTTGTTGTTACATGACTATTTCATTTTCTAAGTTTATTCTAGAAGCTCTACCTTCTTATCTCAGTCCACTTTCAGAGCATTTCACCACTCACTGATACCTTCCCAGCGGGTAGGCCAAATCGGCCAGTTTTTTGGTTTATTAATACATCTGGAAAGTTGTCACTAAAATGGGTCAGGATTAGAGAAGAAATGGAGAAGCCGAGATTCTAGTCGCAGGTTTCGGACTTGCTGGCTGGTGTTTGGTACATCCCTTCACATCTCTGGGCCACTTTATTTCTTCCTTATGAAATGCGGATAATAGTATCTGTCCTGTTGTTCTCCTGTTGTGGGGATCAAAGAGATATGGTGCAAAAGTGACCCACAGCTGCACACTCAGGTGGAAATAAACTTTGTCAGGGTGTACTTCTTTAAGTGAGCTCAGTTCACCTGGTTCTGATACTGGACTCCAATAAGCCTTGGAAGTCAATCCTTTATTTGGGACTTTAAAACGATAGCAGAAGGGATGACCTGAGAGGAACAAAACTTGGACTATGGAATGAACTACATATTATTTGCTAAATTCTTAATTTAAGTAGAGAGAATAACATGACTTCTGGTAGTAACTACACTACTTTCCCACAGGGCATTGGGGTTACTTCTAAGACCGACTGCCTCTTCATCCTGTCTGCAGCTGCTTCTTTCGTTGTCCTGAGTTTGTATATTTTGATCTTCTTGAGTATCCCAGGTAATTACGCATTCTCCACAGGGATGTGTTTGAATAATCACGTCTTTTTCACACACGGCTTCATGAGAATGTTGAGTCTTTTCTACTGTAATTGCTTACAATTCAAGCTTGAAATGCAGTCGTTTTCCAGCCATCATTAGGGAGTGAGCACGGTGTAACGATCGAGAGCATGGCTCTGAGGCCATGTGGTGCTGCCAAGTAAGTGGCCTTCTGTTAAATGGGGCGCAATAGCCCTGATCTCAGAGGGTGGTAGTGAGAAATGGAAGAATTAATGTTTATAAAGTTACTTAATATAGTGCCTAGCAAGTAGTAACCACTCAATAAATGCAAACTATTATTGTATTGCTCCTATTTAAGTTCACTACTGCACCAACCTGTGCAATTCCGACATAGAGGTTTGTTCTATGGGGTAATTTCTGTGAATACCAACTACTGCTCCCTATTAAATTTCCTGGCAATGTCTTTATCTCTCTATTTCTTGCTTTTTTCCTCTCGTCACAGAGGCAATGGGAATGGTTGCATAGACCAGTTGTAGGAAGTCATTCCATCTTGGTTCATAATATTAAACATACGCCCACTGGTTGTAGCTACTGACGATTCTATCACGTGGTAGTCCTCTGTCATTATGGATGGTCTATAATAGCACTTTGTAAATTATGAAGGGTAAAGTTCTAGTAAAATAGTCGACATTTGATTGGTATCATTAACAATCAGTTATTTGTGTAGTTTATGGAAGCTAACTCATTTTTGTAGAAGTGCAATTAGTATCCAATTCTAAAAAACAGTTCTCAGTTGCCCTGGCTGGGTAGCTCAGTTGGTTATAGTATTGTTCCCATACACCAAGGTTATGGGTTTAATCCTCGGTCAGGGTACATAAAAATAAGAATCAATGAATGAATGCATAAATAAGTGAAACAACAAATCTCTCTCTCTCTCTCTCTCTCTCTCTCTTTCTTTCTAAAATCAATACATAAAAAATTAAAAATAAAACAGTTCTAAGTGGTAGAGAGATGGAGGCTGTAAAATCCTGCTACCAGGACAGGAACATTTTGGGCTAGCTGATGACAGGATGGTCAAGTTAGAAGTGTGACATCATAATTGATATGATTTGCACAAGTACATATTTGAAGATTATGATTATTCATTGAAACAGAACATTAAAACAAAAATCTAATAAAGAAAGGGTTGTGATATAAAATAGTTCATTAATATTCCTGTGCTAATTTATTTTAAAATGATTTTTTTAAATTTAAAAGGAATATATGGTAATACAAATTTGAGATAGATAAATATATATGTATGTATTTTAAAAAGTCACTTATTATACCATTACCCAAAGATGGTTAGCATCCAATTTTTGTTTTGAGTTGGAAACAAGCATATGCCATTTGAGAAACGACATACCGTTTTATCATATGCTCTCTGGTCATCATAGCAGCTCTGAGGTGGGAAGTCTATGTTCTCAATGGAAACAGCCTCTGAAAGCCTGGCACTTTGTCAAGTTCACAGAGTTGGTAAGTGGAAGAACCAGAATTTGCACTGGAGTCTTTAACTTCAAAGTGAGCATTCTCATCAAACACAGGAAAGTAGATATTGTGTGTTTCTTTTATTTGAAGTTCTAGAAGAGAGAAAACTAATCTATGGGAATAGAAATTAGATCAGTGGCTGCCTGGGTGGTGGAGGCAAGGAGGGGTTGGGGAATGACTAGGAAGGGACATGAGGAATTTCTGGAGGAGTGGAAATATTCTATATCTTGAGTTGGGTGTTGTTTACACAGATGTCGGCATCTGTCAGAACTCTTCGAACTATACACTTAAGATCTGTACATATCACTGTACATAAATTATACCTCAGTTTTAGAAATCATTTTTTACTTTAAATGATGGGATATTAAATTTGGAAAATGGACAATGCTGTAATGTGTTAATAATGCAAATATATCTTTACATTTTAAAAATATAAGCTATTTTAAGTATCTAAGCAGCCTTCTTCCCTTTCCTTGTGTATTAATGTCCTGTTGCTACTCTAACAAATTACCACACACTTAGTAGCTTAAAACAGCATAAATTTATTATCTTTAAAATTGGTCTCACTGGCTAACGTCAAAGTGTTGGCAGGGCTGTGTTCCGTCTGGAGGCTCTAGGGGAGAATCCACTTCCTTGGTTCAGGAAGATGAATTAAAAACGATGGTTCAACGAGAAGACTCCAAATGACCCATAAACATGGGCGTACTCAGTGACCTTAGTAATTCAAGAAAATGAAATAAACAGATAATGTCTATCAGTAGCAAGAGTTGTGATTTAGCCATGTAATGGCATACTATACAGATATGAAAAAAATGAACAGAAAAGATAAACAATAAGGGATTGTATATATACTCAAATGTAATATTGTGTGGAATTAGCCAGTCACAAAAGAATACACATTGAGTGATTATAGTTATGTGAAGTTAAAAGAAAAAAACTAAACTTATAGTGTTAAGAAATAGGAATATACAGAGAAGCAAAGCAGTCAGAAAATTAAGGAAGGAATGGTGGAGAAAGGGGATGCATGGTTTTTGGGAAGAAGACAGAAAGGACTTTGGGATGCTGGAAATTCTTGTTTATTGACCTGGGTAGTGGTTATATGGGTATTTATCTTGAGGTCATCATTGTGCTGTGTGTCTTTGTATGTGTACTCTACTTCCCAATTAAAAAGTTAGAAAAAATGCCACCAAGGTGGGTCAAGACAGAAAGGAAAATCAGAACTTATTAGAAGGCATCCAAGAACCTAGGGTGATATTGGAAGAATGAAGCACCAAATTTAACTTATGGTTTGCAGGGGCCAGTGCAAAAAGGGAAACACGCTGTATAGTTCATATTGTCTGATAAAAATCAGCAGCACATATGCCTGGAGAGACAGATATTTCTCTGGCTCTAAATTGTGGGCAGAATATTATGCTCATTACATAAGAGGTAAGAACAATGTATTCTGTTGTGGATTTTCTGAAGACCACAAAATGTTTCTTAAATGCCATTTCTTGTCTGAATTCTTGATAAAAGCTGAGAGCACTGCATTAAATCATAGCTCAGTGAAGGCATTTCTGAGGGAATCTTAAGTTGACACCATCCTGTGGCTTTCACAGGAGGAGCTCTGAAGGAATTCCAGCTGTTCCTTGAATGCAACCTCTGTATGTACCCTCAACTATGCTCCCAGCAGTGTCCCAGGCTGACTCACTCTATGGAGGGTTTCCTTGGTTTTCTCCCATGGCACTATTGGCTCTCTTTCTTGACCTCTACTTGGCCTTGACCACAACTCATCTCTTACTGCTGAGCATGCCTGATTCCCCAGTTTGGGGTTGGGGCTACTAAGTATTCCTAAGAGTGGCTGGCTCTACATTATGTAATGAATGTAAATTGGTGCAATATTTTCTTTTGCCTCTCCTGCTTCTCAAAGAGTATGAACATAAGCCCAAATCTTGAATATTTCTAACTGAAGTCTTAGGTGGGAAGACTCTTTTCCTTGTAGTCCCAAAGCTATTGCTACAGTTTCATGGAAGAAGCTGATTGGCTAAGAGAGAAGAAAGGTAACATACAAAGAAGAAACAATATTTGCGAGAATAGGAGCTGAGAGAGATGAGGACAGACACTGAGAGACTAAGTGACAAAGACCTAATGGTATTGAGTCACGGTTTCTATGTCTGGAGTCCCAGAGTTTCTTGTTTCCCGCCTTTCTGATCATGGATGAACAAAGACCTCTTTTATTCCGTGAGCTACACTTATGTTATATATATACCAGAGGCCTGGTGCATGAAATTCATGCATGGGTAGGGTCCCTAGGCCTGGCCAGCAATCAGGGCTGATTGGGGCCTTCCAGCTGCTGGCTGGGGCCTTCCTATGTTCCATGCTGCCCCCTGGTGGCCAGTGCATGTCATAGTGAGCGATCGAGCTGCCGGTCTCCTGGCCAAACTCCTGAGGGGACAATTTGCAGACTAGGCTTTTATATATACACTAGAGGCCCGATGCACGAAAATCGTGCAAGAGTAGGCCTTCCTACCCCCGGTTGCCAGCACCAGCTTCCCTCTGGCACCTGGGACCCAGGCTTCCCTCTCAGCCCTGGCTTCATCCAGAAGTACGTTCAGTCTAATTAGCATATTACGCTTTTATTTTATACTAGTGGCCCGGTGCACAAAATTCGTGCACAGGGCAGAGGGGTGCTCCTCAGCTCGGCCTGCACCCTCTCCAATCTGGGACCCCTCGGGAGATATCCGACTGCCGGTTTAGGCCTCATCCTATCCCTTTTGCAATCTGGGACTGCTGGCTCCCTACTGCTCTCCCCTGCCAGCCTGATCCCCCTAACTGCTCTCCCCTGCCAGCCTGATCCTCCTAATTTCTCTCCCCTGCCTGCCTGATTGCCTCTAACCCCCTCTGCCTCAGTCCTGCCACCATGGCTTTGTCCGGAAGGACGTCTGGAAGGTCGTCTGGAAGATGTTCAGTCTAATTAGCATATTACGTTTTTATTAGTATAGATGCCACCTTGCCTAAAAATGCAGGTTGTTAACAGGTTTGCCCACCCTGCCCACCATGGCTTTGTCCGGAAGGTCTCCCAGTCTAATTAGCATATTACCCTTTTATTAGTATAAATTTTTTTAAAAAAATAAATCTCCTTTAAACAAATCTGAGTCAGGTTTCTATCTCTTGATACCGGAAGAATCTGAATGAACACAACTAGTTTGAGAAGAGTCAACTCCTGCACTTAATCTAATTGATCTAACTCTCCCAGAGCCCTCAGTCTCCTGGGGTCCTGGCCATGCTCTCCCACTAACACCAGCTGTGTTCTGGCCCAAGTAGCACATACCAGCATTATTGATTATTAATTGAGAAGTACACTAAGTGCACACATATTGAGGTGCATGCTTTGCACAAAGAACTGTGTCAAACATGTATTAGCTTCAGAATCGTAAAAACCTGGGTGATGGTTGTCAAAGAAGTTAAACTCAGTACTTCAGGCTACATTTCAGAAAACTGAAGTAAAGGGATTTTACCCAGAAAACATTTCAGAATTGTGATATAATAAAAAATATATTTGGTCTTTGTCCCAGGTTCCTGGCACAGAACTTCAAAAACCCTTGGAATTTTCTGAGTGATACGAGTATCTTTTGTTCTTCATAACGAGCTCCTTTCTGGCTCAATCTGAGTGTAGAGTAATGAGGTGACTCGTGGTGAACCCTTAGATAATTTCAAGGGAGGGATTGGTCACAGCAGAAATACCAGGCAGGAGGTTGGAGGGTGAGAGCTTTCAGCCTCAACGCCAACCTCCAGGGAGAGCAGAGGGGCTGGAGATTGAGTTCAATCCATCTTCTGTGCCTAAGTAATGAGCCCTCGATAAAGACTTGAACAATGAGGTTCTGAGGAGCTTCCGGCTGATGAACTCATCGGGGTTCTGGAAGGGTGGAGCATCTGAGGGCTTAGAAGTTCTGGGCCCTGCCCCCACCCCGCCTGCCCCCTTACCTTGCCTTGTGCATCTCTTTCATTTGTCTTGTGTCCTTTAAGTGAACACTGTAGTTATAAATACAGTAGTCCCCCTTATCCAAGAAGGGTATGTTCCAATGTCCACAGTGGATGCCTGAAACTGAATAGTACCGAACCCTATATACTAGTATACTATGTTTTTTTCCTGTACATAGGTACATTTTCACTTAAAAGAAACACTTTATGGCTTCTCCATGGCATATCTGAATCATCAGCATCACTAGTCTTGCACTTTGGGCCCTTATTAAGTAAAATAAGTGTGAGTTGGACATAAGCACTTTGATATTATGACAGTTGATCTGATAATCCGGTTGGCTATTAGGTAACCAGCAGGTAGGGAGTGTCTACATTGTAGAGAACCTAAACAAAGGGATGAGTCATGTCCCAGGTGGGACAGAGCTGAGTGGCTTTCGATTTAAAACTTAGGAATTATTTCTGGAATTTTCCATTTAATATTTTCAGATGAAAATTGACCAGGGGTAAATGAAATAGCAGAAAGCAAAACCGGGGATAAGGAGGATCTATTGTACAGCTCTTTGCTGGGTTCTGTGAGTTGTTCTAACAAATTATTAAACTTGAGGGAGGGTCTTAGAAACTCCCAAATTTTTGGACTTTAAAAAAATTTGAGATATAATTGACATAAAACATTATATTAGCTTCAGATGTGCAGCAGAATGATTTGATGTTTGTATAGAAACCAGAATTTGTAGTCAGCCGGCAGAAGTGCGGGTGGCTCGGGGCCCCACCTACATGTAATGTTTCTGGCATCTGAAGTGGGGACAATCTTGTGAGACTATTTGTTCCTTCACTTACAGATCTAATGCTTACTCCTGGTGGTTCGTGTCAGAATTGGACTGAACTGTGGGACACCCAGTTGGTGTTAGAGAATTGCTGGGGGACCAGGTAAGAACTTTGGAGGTACTGACCCTAAAAACTCTCTTCTGAAAAGCGGCCAAGCACCCAGTCTCAGCTGTCTCCACAAGGCACTTCAAAAACAGTTGAAGACCGAGCATAATATTCAACAGATCCTTCTGAAGTGAAAGGAGATATATCCATAGAGGTGAGTAAACAACAACAGACAAGGTTCTAAGGCCCATTATGCTACCTGGTGTGATAATGAGCTCCCATTCCCACGTTCACATATGAAGTTTATCTGATTCGTGATCTATTCTGCTCAAACTCCTCAGAGTGGGTCCAATTATTTTACTGCCATGGAATTGGATGTATCAAAGGTAGTATAAATTTGTAGTGGTAGTGGCACTTTGGAGCGTATTTAAAATAACCTGTGACTGAACTCATTTTTGGCAGATTCCTATTATAAAACAATCCAGAGGACCAAATTATACCCATCAAAATATACCATTATGTGCCCACGTAGGCCTGATTTTGATTCAATTTTTTATAGGATTCAGGTTTACTTTTCTACAAATACATTTGTTGTCTAACACTTCCATTCTTTCATTTCTGTTTGTATTTACTTTTTAATTATTTGGAGGGAGGTCACTCTGGGGCCTCATTCATACATGTCCCTCATTCATACATGTCCCTCGGCAACAGCAGGGTCTCAGGGCAGGTCACTGGGTGCCTACATGTGTAGGGCTCCTCAGCTCTGAGGAGAAATAGTGAATAAGAGTTGGGAAACATAATGTTTCTGGGCATTGGAACTATTGTTCTCAGACGCAGGAGAGAGAAGATATGTGGTCAGTCTGATGATCTGGGATAAGGTGGATGGCATCAAACAACCTGGAATCCAGGAGCACGGCTCTGTCCTGGGCCCACCCCTGTTTGTATTCAACTAACCTCTTCCCCCATCTTTCTTCCCTGCTCTGGTGGGATGCGGGGGTTACACAGCATCACATTCAGTCTTTTCCACATTGTTAAGTTATTAATGAGTCATTAAAAATGGAATCGAGTTGATGAGCCATGTATAGTTTGCTTAATCATCTTCTTATAATGGATCATTTACGTTGCTTCCAAATTTTGCTTTTATAAATGCAGTTGTAACAAAATCTTTGCCCATAAAGCTTTTTCCACATTTAGGGTAAAATTGCACAAATTAATTCCTGACTATTTTAAAGCTTTTGACACACTCACCAAATAAGTTTCTAAAAGGGCTCCAATTTCTAAAGGGCAGTGTCTAAAAGTAGTTTTTCTTTGTCCTTTTGCCAGCCCTGAATATTATAATTTTTAAAAAAACCTTTGCTAACTTAATAGTTTAAAAAATGGTCTTAGTGCTTTGCTATATATTTCTTCAATTATTCTTGAAGTTAAACTTCCTTTCCTAGTTAGCTCCTTATTTCTTCTTTTTCATACATTTGCCCAGCTCTGGTCTGTTCTTCTCCTCATAACTTCTAATTGCAGAAGGAGGCCAATGAGCGTTGTCTCAGGGATTGGCTAACACTTCAGTAGTCACATAGAAAACCCAGCATGCAGATCAGAAATTCAACAATTTGGAGATCCATGCTTAGCAATCACACTAGTTTTTGGTTTGCAAAACAAGGATTAGCCACCTACATTTATTCACATTTTCAACAAATAATTATTATGGGCCTTCTATGTGCCAAACACTGTTTTAGACACAGTGAAAAATAACAGACAAAAGTCCCTCCCTTTGTAGAGTGTACTTTCTAGTGAGGAGAGGAAGAGAGTGAACATAGTAAGTCGAATATTTTGAGGGTTAGAAGGTGTAAGTACTAGGGGGAGGGACTGCTGGGTAAGGGGGGAATGAGAGCATTGGGGGAGGGGGGTACTTGCAGCATTTTTAAATAGGGTGAGAAGGTGACATTGGAGCAAAGACTTGAAAGAGGTGAGACAATGTGCGGAGGACTCTGGGATTAGATTGCTTGGGGCAGAGGCACCAGCCAAGGTGACAGGTCTGCCTGCTGCGTGTCAAAAGCAGCAAGGAAGCCAGGGAGGCTAAAATGTAGTGGCGGGCAGGTAGAGGAAAGAAGTTGAGGTCTGGAAAGGCATGGGGTGAATCTTGCAGCATTTGGGGGCGGTTGTAAGGATTTGGGCCTTCCTCAGAGTCAGATGCGAGACCCTGGAAGCTTTGGACTAGAAGAAATACACAACCTGTCCCATGCTGCCTTAGAAACAGCTTGCAGGGGTCAAGGGCAGAAGCAAGGAGACCAGTTAGGAGACTGCTGCAAGTATCCAGAGGCCTCACTGGGCCACGGAGGTGCTGAGAAGGCCTGGGAATGTGGTAGAGCCCAGGATTTCCTGATGAAGTGAATGTGAAGTGTGAAAAAGGTGGAATCAAGGACTATTTCTTTTTTAAAACCTCTTAGGTGGCTTGGTGGAAAATGGAGCTTTAATTAATGATTCTGTTAAAATTAGAAGTACATTTGCTCATGGAAAGAGCTCCAGGTATTGAGGCCATGAGAATGAATCCCTGAGAACTCAGAAGGGGCAGTGGTTTTTATCCATTTTAATGACTGACAAAAATGATAACAAGATTGTGGCATTTGGTTTACCCTTTTATGATTTTCATATATTCCTGTTTAACTTAGTTGGATTAAAATAAATATTTGCTATCTAGGCAACCAGTGTGGCTCTTTTTTTTTAAATCCTCACTTGAGGATATGTTTTAGAGAGAGAGAGGAAGGGAGAGAGAGAAAGATGAATGTTGATTGGCTGCCTCCTCTATGTACCCAATCTGTGATCAAACCCACAACCTTTTGGTGTAGGGGACGATGCTCTAATCAACAGAGCCACCCTGCCAGGGCCAATTGTGGTCCTTATATAGCACTTATGCCTGGTGTCATTTGAACTCACCAGTGCTTACAGTGATTTGATTTAGAGTTCACATTGTTCTGGGTTGTTAGGCATACTGAAAGTGGGCGACAAACCAAGGACAGAAAGAAATCAAATGAACTGTTTTGTGCAGATGTAGGCCGTTTTGTCATTCAAGATGAGTTCCATTATGAATGATGGATATATAATGCTAGCCATTATTTTTAAACGAAGGGGTGTAACCTATCTTATGCATTCTATTTTCCTATCTGAAATTAAAGAAAAAAAAGACACTGAGATGTGACTGCTCTGCAAGTCGACAGTGGAGCAGCTGGTTGAGTGTCTCTGTGATAGCTTCTATCTTAGGGAAGCTTGGGTATCCTGTTGCTTCACTGCTCTGGTGTCCTCAGTGATTTCAGCTGAGCTGTGAGAATGGGTGGAACAGAACGGTGAAGTGAGGGGCGAGGGAATACGCCTGGGCCACAGTCATTCCAGTGGCCCTGCATTGTGGCAGGAGGGAATAAATGCCGGAGAACCGGACAAGGTCCCAGTTGCTATGTAAACTTGGGCAAGTCATTTAACACTTTGAAGTCTCCATCTATTTATTTGTGAAGAAATAATTCTTATTGCCTTACCGATTTCCTAAAGTTGTCGGAGGCTCAAAAGTGAAAGCGATATGACATAAAATTGCTTTGGAAACACTAAAGCATTCTACAAATATAAGCCTTGATTATTGATTTAGCTACAAGGTACATTATTCATACATATAAAATATTTTACATGTAAAGATTATAGACACATTCTTTTATCATCCTAAAATCTGTATTAAGTTTTCTGGGCATATATATTCATTATTCTACGATTGTAATTTTTCCTCTCTTTGGACCGGTTCATTCTAAAGTCCTAGTGGGATTTAATCTTCAGCCTATATATTTATGTGTGTGTGTGTGTGTGTGTGTGTGTGTGTGTGTGTGTGTGTAATGTTAATAGTAAAGGGAGGGAAAAGAGAAGAAATGGGCTTACAGAGGTGGTTGAGGCCTTAGAGACGAGCTCGTCCAATTTCCTCACTTGAAGTGGGAGAGGATCGGATCCGTGGTTAAGTGACTGGTTGCCAAGATTGCACAGCCTTTTAGAGCTGAACTAGGGCTGGAAGCCAGGTTGATGAACTCCCACTCCAATATTCTTTCTACCCCACTTGGCTGCTATCCTGTGTTATACAATTTTTCAATACATATTAGCACAGAGAATTATAGCATCTATATATTCCATAGTATTCTCTCCCAACTCCTCCAAGCAAGAAGTATCTACCAAACCTTGAACAATTTCACTTAAAACTTCATAACTAAAAAGGTACATGAAGCAGAAGATGTATATTTTCAGAGCCATAGCTAAGCCAGAATTGCTCTTTTCCTTACCATTAATGTATCTCTTTTGAAATTCAAGTTGTTGTTTTTTACAGTTACCTTTTTTTTTCAGTTACATGTGGTTGATCTGACACTGTCTCTCCTTCGAATAACTGTTTCTGGAAGCTCCAACAACTGCCTTTACATTCCCCACATTATCCTGGTCTTCGGGAAGGCCAGGAAAGGTGGGCTTGGTTTTGTGTTTTCTCTTCTCTAGGGGCTCTCTTAAAAGGGTGAGTGGGAAGCTGACTGTTTGAGGTCCTCTTGGCCACAGGGGTCTATCATGACACCAAGAGAAGCAACCTCCTCTCTCATCTACAGGCTCCATCGTAGCTATGGTTGACTTTTCTTCCTAGGATTTATTACTGTCTGAATTTATCTTCTCTATTTACCCGTGTGATTTTTCATTGTCTTTCTCTCTCTTCATGAAAATGTAAGCTTCTTGAGGGCAGGGAGCTGGCCTGTGTTGTTCTTCATTGTACTTTGAGTTTTTAGCACTTGGCAGGCATTCAAATAATATTAAAAGCATGAAAGAATTGTGGGGTCAAGGAGTTGAACATGTATAAGGCTTTGGATCCATATTATCAAATCACTTCTCCCAAATGTCAAAATTCACAATCTCTTCGGCATTGTCCGTGGGAATCCTTTCCCTTGCTGCTCTCTGAACCTGGGTATTATAATGGGTATTATCTATAATAATAAAAGCGTAATATGCTAATTAGACCGGACAGCCAAACGACCTTCTGGACGAAGCCGCCATGGCAGGGGCCAAGGCAGAGGTGGTTAGGGGCGATCAGGCAGGCAGGTGAGTGGTTAAGGGTGATCTGGCAGGCAGGCGAATGGTTAGGGGCGATCAGGCAGGCAGGCAGAGGGGTTAGGGGTAATCAGGCAGGCAGGCAGAATGGTTAGGGACGATGAGGCAAG